AAAAAATATACAATTAAAATATTAACCCTCCCCTTATCTTCAACCCCCATCCCTCCCTGCCATTTTTGTTATTTCCCTGTTCTCCAACACCGACATCAACACCAATCCAGCGGCATCATTCTTTCCCTTTCTCATTTTTCTCTCTACTCTCCACCCTCCTCTTTCCTCCTTCCTCATTTCCCTTTTCTTTCCTTTTTTTTTTTCTTTTTCTTTTTCCTTTTCTTTTCTAGTTGCGGTTTAGAACCCATATTGGGATTGGGGTGAAGAAGATAAGAGAAAATGCTGAGAACAACACTCCCAGTTGCATCGTCTTCTTCTTTGACGTGTTGTCTTTCAGTTTGCAAACCTTCAATGCGGTCGCCGTCTCCGAACTTCTCTTCTGTTCTCACCAATGGCGACGATACCAATGCCTCCAACAGTAACAATCCTTCTCGAAGACTCACTCTCTTTCAACTTGGCACCAGTGAGCGATTTTTTTGTGGCTTTATATACTTAAATCCTTTGATAGAAAAGTAGATTTTGTTTTTTACTTGAGGATTGCGATGGAAATTTGTGTATGGTTGCTAAGAAACTGTGGAAACTAGAAAGGAAAACGAACTTATTAGTAGTATGCCCTAGGTTGGCTTAATTCCTCAATATTTTTGCTGCATTTTTGTTTGAAGTTGTGTGGAGCTGATGTAGCCAAAATGGAGTCGAATCGGCACTTCTACCGACTGAGATCTTAGCCGATTTTAACTTTTTTTGTCCCTTTGCAATGAGTATAGCAGCTTGCAAAGGAGTTATTCTCCTGATTTGGTTGAATCCCCAACTTATAAAACCAAACGATTCTAGAATTCATTTATGTAATTATTTTATGCGGATGCCAGATTCGGCCTTAAACGATCTTAACGAAGATATTCGGGGCAAAGAAAGAGGCGTGTGGCTGAGACTCGAGCAGACGGATCGTTGATGAAAGCATGATCGTTCTTCGGAAGAGGATTCATGAGATGAAGATGATCGAGAGGAACTACAAGCTGCCTGCGGACTGGATGGATTGGGAGATACGTGTCTATATGAGCTACGATTCGATGATTTGCGAGATCATGGGAGTGTTGTAGTCGCAGTTGATGAACACTCGCCCCAGTGTCATGTTGGGGATGATGGTCCTGATTGCGCTCAGCTTGCCGATCTCTACCGTCGTGGTTTTCTCTCAATTGGCGGAGATGGCTAAGGGGATTTTGGCCGCCGGCATTAATGCTGTATTTCGAGAAATTGAAATTACAAAATCATCATTTTTTTTCCACGTAATTTTTCTAAAATAAAAGTATTAATTCGTGGCAAGTTAACGGGCCAGTTGGACACTTCTGTGACGGAAGGACCATTTGGGTTCTAAAAAAATAAAGTTTAAGGATGGTTTTGGTCTCTTCTGAAGTTAAAGGATGAACTAAGTTTCGAAATGAAAGTTCAGGGACCAAATTAGATATTAAATTATTTTTTTTATCAAAAAAAATTCATGTAAAATTTAATATATTATTATAAAATTATAAAAAGGAAAAGCAACAAGACAAGATAATGCAGTGAGGCCGACTGCGGGCCCCAGTTGCTTTTTGATACAGGAAAATGATAAAGTTACACAGAACTGACAGAAGTTAAAATTTTCTGTTGCAAGGACTATTTTGCCCCTGCCATGACCAAAATCATCTTCTTCCCTTGCTTCCAATTTGGTGAAGTTTCGATGACACCTCCCCCTGCATTGACTTCAAGTCAAGTCCATCGTCAATGGCAATTGGCAATCAAAAAAAAGAAAGAAAGAATAATGAGTACTTTTACGGACTCTAACCGACTAGAAACGGTTTATGTGCACTGCCAGATCCACGCAAATTGTTTCTTACCAAAAAAGTTAAAAGAAAAAAAAATTTAAAACCCTAAAATAAAAGTATCATTCAGTTTTAGGGTTTGTGAAACTGACATCGTGAATAAAAAGGAAGGTGAAAAAAAGGGATATTCGGCTCAAAAGAAAAGATACAATTTTGAAAACAGAAAGATAACTAGTAAATAAAAAAATATTGTACCATTTAAAATGTATTAAGTTAAATAATTAAATTAGTAAATTAATAATAATTTTTTTAAGGGCATGTTTAATTTGAAAGAAGAGAAGAAGGAAAATTTTTTATTTAATTCAAAAAAATTGAAAGGAAAAGAAAAGGGAGGAAATTATTTACATTTTTTATTTTGTTTGTTTATCCAAATTAGTTTTTCAAAAGAATTAAACTTTATTTGCTAAAATAATTTAAATATTCTTTATATATTTTAATTGTGCAAAAATTTTATTTTTCATTAAACCTATTTTTTACAATAATGATTAATTATAATTTCACATATAATTTTAATTTTATAATTATGACTTGATATTAAGCAAGAATGATATGATATTAAATAAATAAATACATATAATATTAAGATTAAATTTTTTAAATAAAAAAATATATTATATAATAACATATTACATTATATGTTTATAATATCATGTAATAATATAAATATATCATTTTTTATCCCTTTTAAAAGGAAAGAAACCGAAAATAGAAACTATTGGATTTAGATAAGATAGTAATCATGATATGATAATGTGTTTTTATTCTTTTTATTTCAAAATAATTATTTTT